ATGAAACTACATGTTGAAGAATTTCATGGATATGAGAAGTGGCATATATTTTAATATTTTAGAATTGATCACAATAAATCGCAAATGCTAAAAAATTTTAGCTTCTAGATTCTAATGAGAATTCATACAGTTTAATTCTAATTGTAATATTGTCGTTAGCTCTCCGATTAATGAATGAAGACAACGAGAATTCTTATTTTTTTTCTTTTAATTTCCTTTTTCATATATGACTTTTTTTCATAGCATCTGAAAGTAGAGAAAGCATGTTATCACAGTGTTCAGCGGTTTTAACCATTCTGTCAACTGGTGGGGCCGCTAACCATATAAGACTTCACAAAAGAAGGGAAAAAAAGCCCTCCAGACTTATCTTTTTAAATTTTTTTCATGTCTTGGAAACAATTTCTTCAAGATTAGGCAATTTTTAATTCAGCGCAATGTAACTAAATTGCCATAATTTACTATTTTTAAATTCTTAAGCCCATAGCGGCCATCTTGGTCTTTTTGTGGTCATTAATTTTCAATTACACATGTAAAATGAATATCAAAGAATTATGTTCTCGTTTTGGTTTGCCTTCTTTTTTCTAAAAAGTCTTAGTCTTGCTGCAGGAAATTTAATATATGCTGACTGCTTGGTAACAGAAGTCTCAGAGTAAACCAGCTGTAAATAAAGTAAAGAAACTTGAAATTTTGAGAACAAGGATTATGATTTCACGCAGAAACCGCTAATTTAAAAATTCTAACTATATTTTTAATTATACAGCAAATTAAAACTTTTAAATAGAATTATAATTTTTAAACTTACAAATAAATTTAATACAAATATTAATTTATTGCATGTTTTTTCTATCATGGACTCGAATTTGCAACTGCTGCTGAGCACTGAATAACTTAATATCACGCTTTGGAATTAGGAAAAAAAAAAAACTTTGGAAATACTTCATTTGTTTGAAGGGAATAAATTAAAATAAAAAAGAACAGAATAATATCGCCATCTATCGAACAAAATAGAAATTAAAAGACCAATAAAATTATGTCATAAGACTTTTAACATTTCGAGGAAAAGAAAGTAGCTTAGAATCAAAATCATTAATTTACGTTGACAGAATGAGATGACTATGTTAAACTTTTAATACGATCCATGTTCTTCAATGCGAAATTACCACTACCAGTGTACGTTACGCGCAAGGAGTGTTATCCTTCTGAATTTAAATCTGAAATACGGTTTTGAGGAAGGGACTAAACAAAGATTTGTATTAATAACAAGAGAAAATAACTTGGAAGAAAAACTTGAGCACATAAATTTTAACTCGAGTCTAATTAACTACGCATCTTATAATTTCATATTCATCGGCCAGGCTAAAACAAAGTTAAGTTTTGCATTTAAGGAAAGGAGAAATTAATGAAATTTCTAACAATTCTCTTAACCTTCTTTTAAATTTAACTTTCCTAAAAAAATCTAAATGCTTTCTTTGTTTTATGAATTATGTTTCCTTGAATACTGACATATCCACCCAAATCTACTAGTTTTAGTTATAATTTTAATTTTAATCCAGGTTTTCTGAAATGTTTAACACACTTATCTCATATCTTTTCAACCATTTGATATCTGTTTTGTTCAGCAGATGGCAGTACGATTATTGTTTCCTTTATTATTTATTTATTTACTTTATTTCATGTATTTCAGCGATGCAGATCAGGCTTAAGACGTAGAATATTTTTCCTTGTTCAAGCAGTTTGTCTTCCTTGATATGCGCAGAATTTTTTTTTTTTTTTTTTCAATGAAATCAAGGCCGGTGACAAGTCGAATTTTGCCTGGTTTTACGCTTCATATCCATATACTTCGCTGCCATATGTCATATTTTAAAGCCAGCATCTTCATTGAGTTGAACTAATATTCAAAAAAATATTATCAAGCAAGTATTGCGAGTAGATATTTATTGTCAAGCTCTTTATTTGCTTCTGTACGTTGTGTGTGCTAGTGATCTGAAAGGCTAAAAGTAAAGAAATATTAATTATTTTATTCAAAAGCGTTTGTTATAAAATAACATAGCTTCCAACATGTTTACCAGAATTTTTTTTTTTTTTTTTTTTTTTTTTTGGAAAGAGAAGCATGAGCACGTGAGCTTTCGCGGTGGACTCATCGGAGAATGAAAATAGCATTTCCTCCCAGTCAAAATAGAAATTCACTCCCCAGCCTTATTCTTCATCGGAATTCATAGCTATGCCTCTTTCTTGAAGGAAAATGGTACGTAGAGTAAAAGATACACATGCGGTTTGAAGGGGCAACCAGATTGTGCTTACCTATTTATAAGCGGCTTCCATCTAACACCCCACCCCCCAAAAAAAAAACGCTGAGCAAGTTTTTTGCTAAAAATGCTTTTCGATTACCATTTTACACTCATAAATTTCAAAAACATCTTTTTTGAAAATGCTTCTTTCATTTAAACAGTGAAGTTATGCTAGTATTATGTCTTAATAGTTTGAATATAATTTTAGTACACATTGGTTGCCAGACTATATATATATATAAGATATAAGATATAAGACTATGCCAAATTCTTTTTAACAGTATTATATGGTATTACTCAGGCAGTTTTCTTTTTTCTTTTTTTTTTTTTTCCAGCTTTTTCAGAACCGCTATTTTATTAGATGTGTTATACAAAGGGGAATTTACTGTAATGCATTTCTGTGGTGTAGTGAGTTTACGAGGATTATATAACTCTCTAAAAACATCAATTTTTTTTTTCAAGCGCCTTAGGTCTTATAAAGAACTGCACTTCCTGAAATATATCGAACACGTTTCCTTTGCTCAAATCTGTACTGTAGTGTTGTCTTGTTTCTGCAAAGCAACTTTTGATGATGAATATTTTTTATGTCATCAATACCAAGTTCTAATTCCAAATAAAATCTCTTCTTATAAATATTCTAATGAAAATTCGTGTTTTAAACATTTTAATGAAACTCTAACATATAAACACTTTAATAAAATTATATTTCCTAAATGCATCGATGATAAAAGTTATGATATCTTCTCAAAGTATGGCTTGCTAACCATACATTCATCGTTTTTAAGTCCAAATTTCTTCTGCACACATTTTTATCAATTTCGAATAATGCAGTCACAGTATGTTTCTAAATTTGAGCTGCATTAATGGATAATCATATATGTAATTTATGTGAACATTATTACCAAAGATGCTTTTAAAAAGAGCTCAGCTGTATGTGTAATTGGGAATCATTGAAGAAATTCCTTGGTGTATCTTAATATTTCTCAAAACTAAACTTTGTAAAAGATTAGTTCACGGATTTTCAGTATGCATATTTATTGAAGTATGAATTTTCCGTGATTTTGAAAAGCATTTAGAATTTTATTAAGAGTTATTCAAAACAGAGTTGTTAACGTTAATTTTAAAAATAGCACTGTAATGAAGGATATATTGACACAAATATGCCTCCTGTACTTGCTATTCTAATTAGATAGTATAGAAAGACAGTTACACAGCTACGATTTATTAAAACGTGTTGAAAAATGTAAACAACCACTTCCGGGAATTAAGTAATAATGGTTTTACAACTTTCCATGGATTTCCATCGAAATATTTTACCCCATATTTTTATTTACTCGGTCTATAAATTACTTTGCTACGTTCACATTTAATTGGAATATTCAGAGAACTACATTTTCTTGGAATTCTCGGTGAATAACAGTCTTTTCTTATTGTTTCCAATTATATTTTAACATGGGTTAGTTACAACTCATAATTAATGTCGACTCTATAAAGTACAGCTGAAAAACTGGGCATGTTTAATAAACGGTTTATATTCTATTCTGATTAGTTACTTTTTCCTTTTAAAATTTGACACCATTAATTTTAAATATTCTTGACAATTCAATGAGAACTGTTACTTTGGAATTAATTCTTTTTCCTTGCGACTATTTTATTCTGTATACAAGTAACTTGTAGTACTTGTAGTAATATATCGTTTAACTTCTGAGCACAAGTATTTAATTAATACTCATTCTTTTTTGCTGAGGAGAGAAAAAAATGCATTCGGGGGAAAATAAACAGAAGAATGATTCAAAATGAAATTTAAAATTTTTAAATAGCATGACAAAACAGGTATTCTTTCTTTAAATTTTAGAAAAATATGTTTTTGTTTTGTAGAAATGATGAAAAATGTGTTTTGTTCAAAAAATAATAATATCAATTAATAAAAAATTTATAAAAATGTATTATTATATTAATATTATAATACAATTTAATAATATAATAAAAATCTATTAAAATATTAATATAAATTAATAAGACATATGTCTTGTTAAATACATTTGTGAAAAATATGTTTTGGTTTCGTATATTTTTGTTTTATGAAATATCTATTCAAAATTCACTTAGTACATTTTCAATTATTTTCATGTTAAAACACGGTAATTCAATCGTATAGGTAATTTTGTTTTATGAAATATCTATTCAAAATTCACTTAGTACATTTTCAGTTATTTTCATGTTAAAACACGGTAATTCAATCGTATAGGTAATTTTAATTTCCATGCTTGACTAGTTTCTAGTATTCAGCTACTGTTTTAAAATATATAAATAAACAAATAAAAGTTATTAAAATGTTCTTTTAGAAATACATTTTTGAGATAAATATAATTTATGATTTTGTAGTTTGTAGTTCATATTCATTAGCTCGGGGGGGGAGGGGTATTAAACAAACAAAATCGAAAGATAATACATTTCATCACATATCCTCTCATGCCCGTGGAACTAAAAGCAGAATTAATTATTTTTTACTAATAAATAAAAATTAAAAATAATCGAACATACCGTTTAGAATTTTGCACAAATTTCGCTTGCCTTTTCATTATTATGTGTGTTTTATTTCTTCCTTAATTTTAGTTCATTAAAAACATGGCTAAGTTGTGTCTTACATACAAGGGAAACAGACGCACTGATACCACAAAAAACAAACTTAAAATAAGGAAAACATTTTACCTAATGAAACTTTCTTCCATTTAGTTTTCTTCTTACCCCCCATGCTGAGACTAACTTCTTGCTCTTCCTCCTCTTAACTCACTTTCCGCCAGCCTCTTCACCTTGCAGGGACATAATAGTCATTGTTTTGCTCTGCTGTGTTTATCGCTTATTTGGCGAGAGTTTCAAAGTTAAAAGGGCGCCAATCGTCTGTCTCTAAATTCTACTACACAACCGCTGCCTCCTGATGCATATAGAATGCATGCGTGCTGCTTTATTTAAGGAATCTTTTTAAAATATGATTTATATATATTCTGAATGATAATAGAAATGAAAAAGTTAATGATGAATATTTTATGACTTTTCTTTTCCAGAAATTAATATGATTCAGTTTTTTCCTCGTCTTTATTGCGCCATCAATTAAGTAAATACCTTATTAAATAATAAATTTAATATATTTAATTAGAGAGATTTTATTACTCATTTTCCTTTGTGTTGTAACAGAAAAATTGTTTCCTTGCTACTGCGAGATTCGGCAACCCAGAATTAGCAAATTCTTAGTAAAAAGTATTTTTCCTTTTTCAATAACGATTTTGTTATAAATGATTTAATCCAAATCCTAATTTTTATCTAAATCCAAAACTTAATCTTCATTTTTTTTATTTAAGACAACTATGATAACAATTTTGTTATAAGTGACTTGATTCAAATCCAGTTAATTAAATTTAAATGCGTGCTCATTTTAGCGAGGAACAAACTAAAAATGTCGTTCTCATAACAGCTGTTGATTTATCTTGAACACTGCATTTAATAAACAAAAACTATGCGTTTAATGAATAAAGGTAACAAGTTCTCTTCGTTGCAGTCTCCATAACATATATCGGAAGTTATTACAAGTATATGAATGTGCGCACACTTTTTTTAAGTAATTATTTAGAAAGAGAAATATATAAACAAGCTGACAACAAATGTACAAAACAAGAATCTAGATAAAAACTCTGAAAAGAAAATTAAAAATCTGTTTGCTTATTCCTTTTATTAAAAAAGTGTGGAAGAAAGGCATCTAAAATAAAAGGTGAAAAGGCAAATAAAGAAATAAATCTAAAACTAGAAAGTCAGCCAAATATTAATTTTATAACTGATAATTTAAATTTTTAAAATGTTTGAAGCCTTTTGTGTAATTTTAATAACACGCTTAATATTCTACGTAATTAATATAATATATAAATATTAAAATACATTAAAAATGTGATGGATGGGAAGAATTTGTGGAAGTGTATGAAAATTTGATTTCGGCCTTGGCTTGATAAGATTATTATGTTATTAAAAAATTAAAAGCTCACTTTTTAATCAACTTTTTATTTTCAAGTTAAATTGTATAAAAATAGCTAAGTACGTTTTTGTCTTTATTTGTATAGTGTAATTTACATAACAGCTGTTATGTTCATTATCGTTAGTATGTGTATGCTATGCATACACTTTAATGGTATCAGCACGTAAACATAAAATTTACATCTAAAAGTACCTAATGCAAAACGCTATAAATAAAGTATCTCGTTTACACGTACGGGGAAATCATTACTTAGCATATGTCTCTCTGTTTTTCTGTTAAAAAAATCGTAAGGACACTTACTTTTTCCCCCAAGATTCGAAAATAAGTCTTCAAAATCTGATGAATTTAACTTATAACCCTAATTTACAAATTTTAGATCATACAAGAAGTAAAAATCCTTAATCAAATATGATTATATATTTTATAGAAAATAAACCAGGTTATTGTAAACTTGAAATTTACAAGAAATATTACAAATTTTCACAGGGTTGAAAATAGCACATTATTTCAGAAGGTACACATAAGTACATAATTTTTTCAAATTCACATCCCATTCCAGATTCAAATGCTTAATTGCATAGAACGTTATTTTTAAAAAAAAATTAACTGTTCACTTTGATTAGATTATTTCGTTTTTGTTAAATAATCAGGCAAAATGGGTACAGTCTTGTACATGTTCTTGGTTATTTCAAACATACCAAAGGTAAAACATATGTCTTAGAGAAAAAAGGCCAGTGCTCCTATGTAATAATCGAGAAGAAGAATAGCACACAAATCGAGAACTAAACTAAAACATCTAAAACATTCCCCAAAGATGAATGAAATATCCTCTATTTTAGTGACGAAGGCTTTAAATATTTCTAATAAATAAATATACGGCTCAGAGAATTCTCATTAATCCCTTGCTTTATAATTTAAATCGGAATTATCTGTATCGCAGAGAGACACTGAAATACTTACATTTCCAGACAAACGAAGATCTAGCTTTGACCAATCAGCTGGTTTAGTTTAATTGACTATGGCAAAGCACTCCGGGACGATCTGCCTAAGCGAAAGAATGCCTTCATGGAAAACCTTTCTAAGGGAAACTGGCTCGTATCCACGTTACACATGGGAAAAACCATGATGATGCCCATGCAGCCAGCCTATTCGCCTGGAATCGAACATAAGTCGAACTATTAATGTTCAGCCATTTTACCTCTTGGCCGCTGGTAGGTCTCAACTCATCTCAGCTGGAAGACAACGGAAACATGACCAAAAAAATGAAAGCTTTTTTTAATTGAACTGTGAGGGATACTTAAGAATTCGATTAATTTCTGTGATATCAATTGGTAGCAAAGAAATAGTTTTTGAATGAAAGATTTTTTACAAATGTCTCTTATATTATCATCTGTAATAATTTCAAGTTATTGGTAGTCTATAAGACTTCTCATTGTCTTAAGAGGGAACATTATTTTAATTTCCTAAGCATAGGTTACCTAAATAATCATTATTTTCGCCTTTTAAGCCCATTTCTACAGAAATTAAAACTAAAGAAGTAAACAAGAACCTGTAAATTAAACCTCCCAAAAACAACAACAGGAATAAAAATTCTGTGATAGAAAAGCACCGAAATTAATTTCACTCTAATCTTTTTCATTGAGCTTTTTGAATGCCTTTAATAAAAAGGCTTCATTGTATGCATGTCCGTCCTAACAGTGGCCAAATGGTTAAAATCACTGGATTCTGATAGTTTGCGATTGGGTCGAGCTTAGGCGAACGGTATAGCTGCTTGGTTTGTTTTCCTATTTTTCTTCCATGCGTAAAGTATATACGAAACAGTTTTCTTTAAAAAGTCTTCTATGAAAACATCCCTTTACTTAGGTAGGTAGCCTTGTGTGATTTGCAATGTTCAAATAACCTAACCTTGTAGGGTTTTTCTTAATTTGCATAGCAAATTTATTTTAAGTTTTCCTGTTCTCAACTTCTCAAACTTCCCCTCACATTCTCTCGCCAGGATGTAAATCTAAAGTTAAGTGAAGTGCTAGTTAACGTGTGATTATCTCAGTTTATTCAGAGCGTGCTTCGATAGCCTAGCGCACGTTTCGTTGTTATTTTGCGGTCACTCGAGTAAGCCCTTTGGCCTCATCAGTTTAGAATCACGCAGGTTAGATTTCTGTGAGTCCATCTCGTAGGAGTAATTTTGAAGTGCGTTCTTGCACTCATTTATTTTTCAGATATGATTTTGTATTCTTGTCTATGTTTAAGTTATTGCCGCAAGTGAACGGCGTTCTTGTAACGCAGGAAGCCCGTGCTGTCTGTTATTTTAGTTTGAGTTAATTAAAGGGTTATTTTGCACGCTTCTGTGCTGGTATTTATATCACGCCTATGCGAGATTTCACCAGGTTCATTGTAGAATCTAAGTCAGTGGATGTGGAAAAGTAGAGATAGATCTTACAAACTAATTTTGTGTGCACATCTTTGCTCCCTGATACACAAAAGTGTAATAAAAATGATTAATGCGATCCTTGCTTCCAGGCACACAAGAACTTGGTTGCATTAGAATACTTTACGTTTTAGAAGGTATGTCTCCGGGGAGCAAGTTTATCAGAAACTATTTGATTACTTATTTGTTATTGTTGCCTTGTCCATGTAATTTCATGGAAGACTGTTTGCCAGAGCCTCAAGAAGGTTGAACTCCCCCCTCAGTTTTGAGGAAGACCGCCCCGAGGAGGGGAATCCGGGTGACTCGGACTCCATCACTCTCCCCTACCACCTTACCACACCAGAGGACTTTCGGCTCGCCATATATTTAGCCGTAAAGACACCATACATTTTACAAACATCCATGCCTTCTCCGGAATTCGAAACTTAGCTCTTCGGTACCGCAGTAAACTCCCCTAAACACTATACCGTCTGCGCGGCTATTAACGATTTGAAAACCATTTATACGCCATTCAGCAAGCTATTCAATAACATGAGCACAGGCAGCTCAAAAATATTTGGCACGTTGTTCAAAAGTTTTATACCTAGTTTGGTTCACGGGATTTTGGGGACCCAAAAGTCGATTGCCTGCTGTTTTTGCTTACAGGAAAGTGTAAACTTTGAAACAGTAGCCGTCTCATCATTATTTAAATTGATATTCATACACATAATAGCCTCAGATATAATTGCATATATAATAGATATAATAGTTTTGGTATCCAGAATGACTTCCCACAACTGCTTGCGAAATATTTTTGTTCTATTTCAAACCGACATTTTTGCGTGCCGTTTAAACAATAAACATTCCACGAAGACATAAAACTGTCAGGTATGTACAATGTTTATGGCTGTTTACCATTTTCACCTCAACTTTGTTGGACATGGATGGAAAATAACTGTAGAGAACACTGAAACAAAAACTAAAAATTTCATCTCAAGCAGGTGAATGTTCTAAAAAGCAACAACAACAACAAACAAAAAAAATTAAATTATTGCTGCATATGCCAACGCTTTATCGACAAAAGGTGGAAAATACTTTACGATGACCGTGGAAACAATATAAGTTCTTTCCAAAAATTATATAAAATAAAACAAAACACTGGCATAAAATTCAATTGTTATCATATTGCTATTTTCTTATCAAGTGAAACATGTTATTCAATCAAATTATCTCGTAAAAACGATCTTCTTATTTAAAAACATTAAATAAGTAAGCAATTTTCAGTAACATGTGATGAAGTTACACAAGAAAAAAACAGCTTTATTTACTTATTAGCCAACTAAAAATGACTTAATTGGTGAAACGGTTCATTTAAAGTAAATTTTCATGAAATAAATTTTA